CTTATCTTTCCCGTTCTTGTGAAAGCCTAAGTCGATAAGATTCGATTGATTTTCCTTTTATTTATTCTTTACATCAGTTTGAATTCAAAATTCTGTTTCCAAATTTAAAGTTCTAATTTCCAAATGACAATCTTTATTCTCTTGATAACATTAATTTCTGTAATCCATTTGCCTGAAGCTCACTCAATTCAATGTGTCTATGATTCGAATGAGAATGGAGAGAGTCATTCGAATACTTCAGTACGTTTAAATTCAAAGAAATCCTTGCATAAAATCTGCATTTTTCAAGAAATGGAGGCATAAAATCTTCGGCTTACTTAATTTTCTATGGATTTCTGGCTAGGCAAAGTCAATTTATTTTGACCGAGGCTAAACTTTGGTCTAAGTAGTGAAGCATGGTACAGTTAAAGTTAATGAGTACTTAGTCATTCAAATTATGAACAATGATTATGGTTGGGCCAGAGCAAGAGCAAGCAAGGCCAGGCCAGGTCAAAACAAAGCTGGGCATGCTAAGCCAGAAGTTCTCCCGGCTCTTCTGTAATTTTCGGGTCTTTTGAATGTTTTACTTAATTTTCTATGGTTAACAAAGTCAATTTATTCTGACTGAAAGCTACACTTATAAGGTAGGCGTACAGATAAAAGTGTTAAGCCGTTTAAATGCCAAAAAGTGAGATTTCTTGGCATTTTCATTTTTTCTTTGATTTTATTTGCTATTCGTGCTGCTCGGGTATTAAGGCCAACCATTTTACCACAAGGAATCGAGCCTCAACCTGCAATCGATCTTTATCAATGATTATCCGACTAAAATGACCGAATCTACCCTAGACACAATTTTTGGAGGAGCGCGTAAATCAGAGGAAGAGAAAGACGGTACGATTCAATTTTCTGCTCGTTATTCTTTCATTGCCAATGAGCGCAATTGGGATTCAAAGGATGCCTCTTATTAAGTATTTGAGCAAAGCAAATGAAGTCACTTGGAGGAATCCTAAGTGTTCTAGTATTTTTATAAACTCTAAAAACCTCAGACATACAAGCTTATAGAAAAAGGTGAGGATCATCAAAAGTCGCGAAAATTACTCAAGAGCCAAAGCTTTTTTTTGGTCTGACTAGATAGAAAACTATGATTACGGTAGTTTGCAAATCGACACCTTTTAGAAAACGCATTAGTTAAAAGAAGCTAGTTAAAAGCTTGACTATTAGAAAATCTTAAGCACGAGAAAATTTAGTTTTCTTTTAAACACAAAGAACAGGTGTTCATCGCAAGTTTAGGCTCGAGCGACTCGATGCAGTGTCTCGTGCAAATATTGTTCAAAAAGAGTGGTAAATTTTTTTTCCTACAAGCGCTTTTGGTTTAAATACAAGCTTTTGGATTACATCTGTGATGGCCGATTTTGAAATTTAGCCAATTTCGAATGAGTGGGACGTCCAACCATCAAGTGTTTGATGTTAAAAATTGAGGATCATTCTCCCCAACCCAATAGCAATGTTGCAGGAAAATTTCTAATTGTGCTAACTCAACAATGACGTATGTCTGTTTATCATCTTCAATTGCTTCATCATCGCTCATCTTGAAGGCAAAGTTAAATAAGAAATGATTCTAATTTTCTGTGAGCGGAGTGGCTTGCCAGTTGGCTGGTTCAAACCTCTCTGTCGCAGCAGGAGATGTCAACAAAATGTCACCGAATATGGCAGGAAATCAATCAGCCGATTTGTTTCTGCTATTCTTGGTATAAAAAGCAACAAATAAAAACAACATAATAGTTATCAGCGATAAGAATTTCTCACTTGGAATCAGCCTGATTGTTACGCCCTTTCACATCTCATTTTAGCTATGTTCCCTATCAATCACGATCAGTTTGTCCTTGATTTGCCCCGTCTTTATCCCATCTTTCACCATCGTTTCAGCAAGTTCAATAAATTTCAGTCAAACGGAGATTGCCATATTTCTTGTAAGATTAGATGGTAATTGTTTCTTGTGAACTACAAATTCTAGCACATTTATTCATCTTTCTATTTCCCTCATCTTTTTTTACATGCGTATAACTTTTTTCTTCGATGTCTCGCTATATCGTCTCCAGAATGGAAAATTCGAGTTCGACGAATATTTTCTGTATGAAAAGAAATCAATTTTGAAAAATGTTAATTTTTTTTTTAGTTTTTTTACACGAGCGTATTACTTTTGCTGATCACATTCAGCTTTTACGTTGATTATTTGGTGATTCCTTATCAAATACACGAAAATAATACGGTAACTTTATTTATATTAAAAATTTTAGAGAAAAATATGATTAGACAATTCTTAGATCAAATCTTCAATTGATTGCTCTGTTCTTATAAACGATTCAAATTTTCCCCTCTCACTTGCATTAGGCGGACTTCTCATGGTCTTTGCGATGAGGTTGATTTTAAATAAATTCAGTCTGTGTCGAGCTCTTACTTTAAACTAAAAATACGTTCGACTTATTTGTTAAGTAATACCGGAGTAACTTAAATCGTCTCAAAGTTAAGCTTTTAGTTGGGCCATTGTTGTTTTAACTCTTTTATACAAACTTCCTCATCTCGGGCCACCTTAGAGTATCAAATTACAAACGGTGCATCAACAAGTTTCGTTTGTTCAGGTACATGAGTGGATTCTCGCATGGTATTTATTAGGTACTCCGGAGAATAACTACATTTTTCTTAATGATTTCCAATTGCAAAAATTGCAAAAGCCGTTAGAATCAATCCACTTTTGCCAACGAGTAGCCAATTTTTCGATTCCTTCAGCAAAGTCGGACTGTCTAGAGGCGATGACGTTGATAGAATTTGTCTTCGATAGAATTTTTCACCTTTGTTTCCTTCTTGAAAATTTTATCTCGACCTCTAGGTTGCAAAAAGGGGACCGACCCACTGATTTTGTGTTCGCAGATCTATTCGATAATCCTGCTAAGAAATGTTGTCAAGTCAAGGCCGAGCTTTCACATACGCTTTGGCCCATCTGATAGACTTTTCATCAAGGATTCTGAACCTGTCTTTAGTTTTTTTCGAAACGCTTCTGTAGCCAAAAGACAGAAGGTGACAAGTAATGAGTAAAGGTTGTAAATCAGCCGAAAAAAAAGCGAAATTTGGATGCCAAAGATCTCGTGTTACAGAAGCGTTCCGGTAAAACTAAAAGCAGATTCAGAATCCCCAATGAAAACTGTATGACATGGGCCCAGGCTCATGTGGAAACTCGATCTGGACTTGACAAAATTCCCTGGTTGAAACCTCACTTAAACTAATTGTAAAAAAGTGTAATTAAAAAGATCTAGATGGACTTTTTGGCGACAATGTGTGTTCTACCTTTGTTTATAATGGCTTTAGCAATACTTGTTCAAGATAAACAAACAAGTAAGTATTTAAAACTCTTATTTATACGGTTTCCTTTCCAGAAAAAATTTTATCTAATGCACTAATGATAACCACTTTGCATTCCTCCGGCAATTGTCTCATCGTTCTTTTTGTGACAAAATACTATCGAGATTTTTCATTAAACTTTATCAGGTAAGTGAATAGAAACAGAATGAGACATTGACAACAATATGATTAGATTATCTGGGTTTCAGCGTCTCAAAAAACGATTTATATCACGAATTGGAGATTCCACTGCGTTTCGCACAACGCACAACGTTTCGCACAACAACGCACGACGCAGAACGCAGAACGCACAACGCACAACAAATGCCTTATGTCATTCGACCTGATGAAAAATGGAAATATCAAATTTTTTGGGCTTTATCTAATAGCTAACAGTTCGATGTCTATAAAAACTTAATTTAAACTTCATGTTTAAGCGCATTATTTTCAGGATTCTTGAAAGATTTATCCTTTGTTGATCAAGTTTGTCATTGGTTGAAAAAGTGGTTCGAAAAGCCGAGTATGAATTGCTATGAGCCGTGAAACAAACTTTATCAACTCACGGATTATGCTTGGTCAAGAGCTTTCTCTGGTAATTGACTTATTGTTGAAGCACCAAGTCTTGTCTTGCACCAGGTCTTGGTAGGCCATTCTGACCGAATCTCTGAAACTTTTAATAACCTAAACCGCTTGAATTTAACTTTGATTTTGTAAAATCTCTACAAAAGCCCAATCCGATAGCTTTCAATTGACCTGGACCTAGAATTTGAACCTTGCTGTTGGATTTAGTCCAATTTGCCTTAACTCTTAGCTTTAGCTTAACTTATTTCCAGGGCATACTGTTCTACAGTTTCTCAAAAATTAGTGCAAAGTAGGACAGGATAATCTACTATATTTAAAAGGGAAGTGTCCGTCCGTCTGTCTGTCTGTCCGTTTGTCTGTCTGTCCATTTGTCTTTCCGTCCGTCTTTCTATCCGTTGTTTGTAATTACGCGTTAGGCGGGGTACTATTAGAGGGGTGGGGTCCAATTACAGTATTTACGGTATATACTTAAATATACTGCATCAACATCAACAAGAAAAACAGGGTTGAAAACTTTGCTTTTCCAAGCCCTATTTTGCGCACCCCCAAATGTGTCAAAAGTTAAAATAATTTTAAAATGGCTCTTATAGAGCTTGTTTCAGGCTTTCAGAATTACTATAACACTTCTGGTCTACGATGGAAAGGCTCGGAGTTATAGCTCTTCAAAGATGGAGAAAAATTCCAAAGATGGAGGTGATAATCTTTTGTCCAGTACTATATAAAGTTTTTCTTCGTGAATCTAACAAATGCTTTTGCTTATAAACTTTACAATTGTTGTTGTTGTGTTTTTTCGAGCTCTTGTCTGGTTTGTTTGTTTGATCTTTATTCATTCTGCAACAATCATTTCATCAACAAATAGCAAAGCATAATGAACAACGAAATAAAACTCGTTAGTCGATCAGAAAAGTTCTTGTCATAGATGATTTGAATCGTGAAACTTGTATCGGATTGGTTGTTTCCTCCAGTTGCTGCAAAGAAAATCCTTGATTGAAATAGTTTGCTTTGAAATTTGAGGGTCCCGTTTGCTTCTTGTTGCATTTTTAATCTAAAATTTTGCCAAGAAAAGCTTAGAATGTAAGTCTATTTAGTACTCAAAACTTAACACGTTACAGTACTTACAATTCTCTGTGTTTATTGTTGACCCGAATATAGAAAGTGTCATTTGAGTTGAGATTTGAAGAGTACTCAATGGTGATGAATCGCTCAATCCGTCGATCTAACGGTTCCCAGGCACAGGCGATTGGTGGGCAACCCTGGAAATGGAAAAATAGCCTCAAGATTTAGATACAATACCTTTGAAATCCTTTGTCGAATTGTGACTGTAATGATTGAACTATTTTGAGGTGATTCCACTTTTTGAGCGCAATCACAACCTGTAAGATTTTTGTTTTGTTGATTTTGCATAGAATTTCTAACCATCTTTGATATCAACCTCTTTGATTGATCCTTCGAATTCTCCAGTCTCTTGTGTGTATCTAAAAAGTTTTAGATCTGTTAGACTTTCGGCACTTACTCCATGAAAACTTGCTCGTTCGGCACAACGTACTCGAGTGATTTGTGGCTTTTCTCCAGTAATCTGAAAGTATGCATAAAACTGTTTATTTGGCTAATCTGGTACAAAATTCTGACGAAGTTTGACAAATTTTGACAGACTTCTGACGGACTAACGAACTTTTTGCGAACACTGACTTTCGGGTAACTGCTCTAAAGCTTGCCCGACTACCATAACGACAACTCTCAGCTTATGTAATCAAGATCAATTAGCAGTAATCAAATTTTGATAAAAAGATCAGTACATAGTAATATTTAATGAAAATTACCCCAGTTTTGATAACAACTGGCTACTTCGAGTTAAATTTTGTCTTTTGCGTCTTTGGCGTCTGTCCAAACTTGCACAACTTGACATAACTTTCTTCTAAAAGGGCGAATCTTTATAATTTTAATGTCATTTTGTAGATCTCAACAAGTGCAACAAAATGACACCAAAATTATAAAGATTGGCTTACTTAGAAGAAAGTTATGGTAAAAGAAAGTCAAAAGACCCAGTTGCGAAAAAATTTGGCTTTAAGTAGCCACTTCCTGAGTTGAAATCAAAACTCGAGCACTTTTCATCAAATATTTGCTGATGTTTATATCAAGATTTAATTACTCTAAATCGTCTCTTTCAATCTTACTATTCAGTTTGAATCTTTCTCTGCAATACACTGTAAGAAATCGACTATCATGATCACTTTCATATTAAAATTTGTTATAAATTAGCATTGATGTCATTCGGTAGATTTTTTTAGATAATTTTCTTGCTTAAATTTAGAGCCTTTTTTAAAATCTACGATTTACGACTTACTCAAAATAATCAGATCCATGATGAGGTCCGTGAAAACGAAGAGGACTCCAAACATTGTCGAAATAATTGATTTTAATTTTCATTCCTTTCTGCGTTGAGTTATGAGAAAACTGAAAAAGTTCAAGGTTTTTTCAAAAAGAAATCGTTACCATTTCATTTCCGATATATTCAATTATTGAAGCTTCTTCACTCGGACTTTCCTCTTTGCGAAACTCGAATGCTTTCAACTTGTCGGTGAAATGGAAACTTTCATGAACTAAATAAACAATAAATTTGTTATTGAATAAAAAGTTAAATGCTAATTCTAGTTGTACTAAAAGAATCCAATCAAGTAAAAAAATTAACATTTAAATGAGCTTGACCTCGATTCTACGGGCTAAAAGAAACTAAAGATTGTTTCTTTTTTGCTTTTTTGAAAGTAACTAAAGATTCTCTTGATTTAAAATGTTGGTAAAACAAATTTCAAATCAAATTCTTTGATAAGTACTGGATTAGAATTGAAATTTAGACACCGAACCTGGTGGCGGAGCTCCAGCATCATCTCCACTGCCAAAAGCTTCACAAATAAATATGACAATAAGATAGAGATACATTATTTCAATAAAAACACTTTCATTTACCCAAATAAGAGATTTGCACCTGTCTTTTGGTCGAAGAAAGATTTGTCAATTCTCCGAAAAAGAAAAACTCGATCGATTGCCGAAAAACAAGGTCATTTTGTTTTGTGAAAAGTGGAGCTCAATTGAAAGATATTGGTCGTTTCTACTAACTATTCTTACTAGTATGTGTAAAACGTGTCATCTTTTGAAAGCTATTGTAATCTTGCTTCTATTTTTTTCGATTTATCTACTTTTTGTTAAGAAAGATAGGAGAAAAATGTAATATGTAAAAATACAAATGTTAATGTAATATAGAAAAAAAGAAAATGTTTATAGAAGTTCAAAATTCAGCTGCAAGATTTTCTAAACTTCAACTTTGTTTGATGAATCAGTTCTCTGAAACTTGTTTGTGATTGTGATTGACAAAGAATTTCACTCACCATTTATTGGTCGATTTTTGCTAACTTTACATAACAAATAGATCATGATAAAGATGAATAGAAGCGTTTGTTCAAAATAAAGTTTCATGAGTGAAATGATTTTGGTAAACCCGTTTAGTCAGTTCATACTTTGTCCGATTAGATCTCCGGTTAGATAAAATAATTTCGAAAAAGCCAAATTGTAAAGTTATCCAAAAATAGGATTCAATGAAAAAGAAGAAAAAGAAAAGAAAAAGAAAAAGAAATACTTTAAACTTACATTACACCATTGTTCTCCATCATTGTCCATCTCTCCACAGCCCCACGACCATCGAGAGGATTTATCTTTCTAAATGGATAGGCGAAATTCACAACGGTCAAATGATTTGAAATGTCGTAGCCGATTATGAATGAAATATTTTGGCTGTTTTGGTCGATGAAATACTGTTTGTTCCTAGGAGTAAACGGATATAAACTAAAATTTGGGTTAAGTCAAAGAGAGTGGACCCCTTTTGATATCCTGCCATCTCTAACAGCCCGACAACCCGACTCAACTTCTTCAATTTATTAGGGGGAGTCCTTGAGAAGACCGACCTGAATTGCAGTTCCATACCCGGAAGCTATGTATCTTTATTTACAGTAGTACGATAAGACGAAGAGATTACAAATGAGTGAAAGGGGAAGGGGAACTCCAAGTGAGAGGCTCACTTAACGATCCCAAGGACCGCCCCTTCTCGGCGATGGAAGGGATAAGCACAGGGGAGATCACATTTACATAAGAATAGACAAATCATTCTATAATAACAATTGTAACTAAAATATCAGTTTAGCTCGGAGCTGACAGTACAAAATTTGTGCGTTTAGGTTAAAAATTCTGTGCACTACTAGGTTTTATTCAAAATCGGCGGGACTTCTATAGCCGATTTTGAATGCGTGGGTTTAGGCGCGTCCAATCATCAAGTGCTTGGTATCATTCGACGCAGAATCATTAGTAATTATGTCAAATTTTTTAAATTAGAAAGATTGGATAAAAAGAAAAAAATTTAAAGCAAAAAAACTGTTTATTCAAGAGAAAACTTTGAAGTTCCATAAAATTTTTTCTTTTTATCCAATCTTTCTAATTTTAAAAATTCAACATAATTATCAATAATTTTGCGTCGAATGATACCAAACACTTGATGATTGAACGAGCCTAGTCCCACTCATTCGAAATTGGCTACAGAATTCCCGCCGATTTTGATTTTTTAATCAAATTTTTTCCCCGCAATTTTTAATATCAAACACTTGATGATTGAACAATATTTGCACCAGACGCTGCATCGAGTCGCTCGAGCCTAAACTTGCGATGAGCAAAGCGCTTGACATGTTCTTTTTTTTCAAAAGAAAACTCAATTTTCTCATGCTTAAGATTTTCTAATACTCAAGCTTTTAACTGGCTTCTTTTAACTAATGCGTTTTCTAAAAGGTGTCGACTGGCAAACTACCGTAAACATAGTTTTTTATCTAGTCAGACCAAAAGAAAGATTTGGCTCTTGGATAATTTTCGGGACTTTTGATGATTCTCACCTTTTTCTAGAAGCTTGTATGTTTGAGGTTTTTTGAGTTTGTAAAAATACTAGAACACTTAGGATTCCTCCAAGTGACTCCATTTGCTTTGCTCGAATTCTTAATAAGAGTCATCCTTTGCATCCCAATTGCGCTCAGTGGCAATAAAGAATAACGAGCAGAAAATTGAATCGTGCCGTCTTTTTCTTCTTCTGACTCCTCCAAAAATTGTATCTAGGGTAGCTTCGGTCATTTTAGTCGGATAATCGTTGATAAAGATCGATTGCAGGTTGAGGCTCAATTCCTTGTGATAGAATGGTTGGCCTTAATACACGAGCAGCACGAATAGCAAATAAAAACAAATAAAAAATGAAAATGCCAAGAAATCTCTTTTTGGCGCTATGTATTAACACCTATAAATGCCAGGACTAAACGGCCTAACACTTTTACCTGTGCCTTATCTGTTTTGCAATAGGCATTAAAGAGGGAATCAGAAGTATAGAGAAATGCCAACAGTGTAACTGCCAGTCAAAATAAATTGACTTTGTTAACCATAGAAAATTAAGTAAAACATTCAAAAGTCCCGAAAATTACAGAAGAGCCGGGAGAACTTCTGGCTTGGCATGACCAGCTCTGTTTTGATCTGGCCCAGCCTTGCTTGCTCTTGCTCTGGCCCAGCCATAATCATTGTTCATAATTTGAATGACAATAAGTACTCATTGACTTTAACTGTACCATGCTTCACTACTTAGACCAAAATTTAGCCTCAGTCAAAATAAATTGACTTTGCTTAGCCAGAAATTCATAGAAAATTAAGTAAAAGTCCCGAAAATTACACAAGAGCCGAAGATTTTATCAAATGTATGCCTCCATTTCTCGAAAAATGCACATTTTATGCAAGGATTTCTTTGAATTTAAACGTACTGAAGTATTCAAATGACTCTCTCCATTCTCATTCGAATCATAGACACATTGAATTGAGTGAGCTTCAGACAAATGGATTACAGAAATTAATGTTATCAAGAGAATAAAGATTGACATTTGGAAATTGGAACTTTAAATTTGGAAACTGAATTTTGAATTCAGAATGATGTAAAGAATAAATAAAAGCAAAATCAATCAAATCTTATCGACTTAGGCTTTCACAAGAACAGGAAAGATAAGGCATTGAAATGGGAGTCCTTTGACACCTTGCAAACTTAAAAGAACGCTCATTTCCGGCTGGTTTTATGTAGTTTTCATTTTACAATTGTCTGAATTTTCTACCCAACAAGAAGCTGCTGATCTGGGTCGAACCGGAACCTGAGCGTGAGCCTGAGGCAGACCTGGATCAAACTAGGACCTGAGCCTGAGCCCGTATGCTATGCTCCGGGAAAATTTCCGACGGAAAGTGATTTGCTGGCGCCGGAATTTTCCCGTTGCTGCTAAACTCCGGAAAATTTACAAAGGAAAGTGCTAAAACGATGGCTTTATGAACAAGACTTTCGATTTATTAACCTGGAATTTTGGCTTCAAAAAACATAGTTTGATAAAGGCGGAAGGTTTTTCAATTTTTCTTCCCCTCGGAATTTCCCCTCGGCAGAGTTTTTGGCGGAAACTTTCCCGGAGCGTAGCATACGGGCTCTGGAAGTCAAGCCAAGCCAGATCCGAAGATATACCCAGATGATGCAGACATTGGTTTAACCATTGCTCCAGGCAGATCTCAGACTTTCTGGGAAGGTTATGTATTTCAGGTAAACTTAGTTAGACCGGGCTAGACCAACAAAACTAGAAGCCTGGCTTAGACCTTTTGGATCTAGCTCTGGTCCTGGCTTGGCTCAACCGGAAAATCTGCTTTTGCAACAATTTTAAATAAGGTATTTTCGAAAGTCAATATAGCCACCGTTGTTAATCGTTTGCTCAATTTCTAAAGAACATTCAGCCCAGAGAATCTCATGGACTCATTGCGGTCATTTTGGGATGTTTTATATGTACCGGCGACAAATCCAAGAAGACAAAAAGTGATCTACCTGGCAACAGATTGCAGCACTACAAGTAAGGTTTCTGTGGAAAAATTTGTTGTACAATTTGTTTTAGTGGGCAAATTTTACTTAAACTATTGGGAGCAATTGAAATGGTTCATGGATAATAACACAAACCCTAAAGTCGCATCAATCTTTGGGCTGATACTTCTAGGTGTTAGTCACAGAAAAACATCGTTTAAAATAAGCTCATTTACAGGAATCTTTGATAGATAATGAAACGGAATATTGGCTTGAAATGATTCAAAAGAATCCGGCAACTGGGAAATACTTTAGTTATGTGAGTTCAGCTATGTTTGACTTCAACTGTAAGCTGGTCCAGACTTGAAAACTTGCTCTAGATCTGATTTCTGGCAGACCCAGAACTTTTGCGGGTTATCAATAAAGTCAGAAAATTGGCTTTAGATAAAAGATAAATTAGATTCAATAAGAAACCAGAATTAAACACTTTTCAATCTAAAGTCAAACGTTACTTTTGATAAATTCGAATTATTTGTTGATTGGATGGCTGTTGCGTTGAAAAAAGAAACTTTTAAAGCTAACAAATTCACTTTTCTTCATTTCCAGAAAGAATTCTCTGGTATCCATGATGATTCAATTAGTGAATACTTTGGTCTTTGCGAACCGCTGCCAGGTAAGGGATTTAATTCTCTCTCCCATTACTTCTTATCTCTCTTACCTTTTATCGTTAAGCGCATCAAAGACCGACGGAAAACGAAAAAAAATCATTAGTATTTGCAGGTGAACCTCCCGCATTTCGAAAGTATCATAAAATGAGTTTGGGGTCCTGTTCAAATAACAATTATTTCTTAAAGTTTACAGCTGTCTCCTGACTCACAAAAATCACATGTTTCCTTTTTATTTCCAATTCGCCCACTCTACTTCCTCGGTTCACAAACAGTCACATTGGGCTCACCTTTCCCACTATCAGACTCAAATGTCAGAATATTCAATTCTCGAGACTCTTTATTTAATTCCACTTCTAATCGATGGCTTTATTTGCTCACTCACTATTGGTATTTTCAGTTGTGTGAAAGCTCCAGATCACATTAAAACGTTCAGAATGGTTCAAATTGCGATCATTGTAAGTAAATGATAGTTTCGTGTTGAATCTAAGCTGAATGATCGTCTTGATCGTTACTTATTATAAGAGAGAAAGCATATCTGTGTGTCTGTCTGTTATGGGATTTTAGAAAAAACGGCTGAACCGATTTGGCTGAAAATTTGGTTATATGTGTAAAATCTTACCTAATTTTAAAAAATCAAATTAATTCTGAGGGTTAGTGGGACCGTCTTTTGTAAAAAGTGGAATTACTGAGCTCCTTTATACGCTTGGTCGTGTGGTCTAAGACTGGTCGTGTGGTCAATCTGGCGCTGGAGAAAGGGTTCATGGTTTCAATTGGGTGAACAGCTTAAATATTTTATTGGGCATTGACAATAACACTTTACCAAGCTTCCATTGAGAATCTAGCTCATTTTAAGTCTATCTTGGTGATTTGTGTCCAGGATTTCTGATCTAAATCAAATACTTCTGTTATCTGATAGATACAGGCCATACATGATGTTTTGAAAAACGAAAAACAAAGATAAAACATAAAAGAAGGAAACCAAATTAGGGTGGCCAGACTTGAGCGGCTTCTGTGATTGCAATGTTGACCAACCAAGTTTCTGTAGCTTCTACAAACTTCTGTGTCGATCATCAAATCCTTTTATCATTTTGACATGCACATCGAGTTACGGCTGCTACGGCAAATTCCATTTCTTGCCCAATTGATTGTTCTCGACTTTCCTTTACTTCGGCCTCCTTGAATTCTCCCACAAATATAGCAATGTTGCAGGAAAATTTCCAATTGTGCTAACTCAACAATGACGTGCGTCAGCTTATCATCTTCAATAGCTTCATCATCGCTCATCTTGAAAGAAAAGTTAAATAAGAGATGATTCTAATTTTCTACGAGGGGAGTGGCTTGCCAGTTGCAGGAGATGTTCGTCGACAAAATCTGGCCGAATATGGCAGGAAATCAATCAGCCAATTTGTTTCTGCTATTTTTGGTATAAAAAGCATTAAAAAAAGCAAAATAATAGTTATCGGCGATAAAAATTTCTCACTTGGCATCAGCCTCGATTGTTTCCCCCTTTAACATCTCATTTCAGCTATGTTCCCTATCAATGACGATTACTTTGTCCTACACTCGTCCCGTCGTCATCCCATCTTTCACCATCATTTCAGCAAGTTCAAGAAATTTCAGTCAAACGGCGATTCTCATATTTGGTGTAAGATGTGATGGTGATTGTCACTTGTTAACTGCCAATTCTAGAACGTTTATTTATTTCTTACTATCTTTCATCTTCTTTTACATGTGTATAACTTTTTTCTTCGATGTCTCGCTATATCGTCTCCAGAATGGAAAATTCGAGTTCGACGAATATTTTCTGTATGAAAAGAAATCAATTTTGAAAAATGTTAATTTTTTAAGTTTTTTTTCGCGAACGCATTTTTTTTGGTGATCGCAAGCGGCTTTTATGGTAATTATTTGGTGATCTCTTATCAAATACACGAAAATAATAGGGTAACTTTATTTACATTAAAAATTTTTAAAGAAAAATACAGTTAAACAATTCTTCGATCAAATCTTCAATTGATTGCTCTGTTCTTATGAACGATTCAAATCTTCCCCTGTCACTTGCATTAATCGGAATTCTCGTGGGCTTTACGATGAGGTTGATCTTTTAAACAAAATAAAGTCACTGCCGAGCTCATACTTTAGACTAAAAATACGTTCAACTTATTTGTTAAGTAATACCGGAGTAACTTAAATCGTCGCAAAGTTAAGCTTTTAGTTGGGCCATTGTGATTGTAACTCTTTTATACAAACTTCCTCATCTCGGGCCTCCTCTGAGCATCAAAATACAAACGATGCATCAACAATTATTACGAGTTTCGTTAGTTCAGGTACATGAGTGGATTCTCGGATGATATTTATTTATTACTATTAATGGTACTCCGGAAAATAACTGCATTTTTCTTAATGATTTCCGATTGCAAAAATTTTTATTAACCAACAATCAAATTAATAAAAATAACAACCGTTAGAATTATTGGGTTGGTGAATTGAAAACTGCGGGACTTTGAACTAAAATTTATTCAACATAAAACCATCAATTCATTCGAAATAATTTCCATTACTATTGACGACTTCTGCCCATTTTACAGGCAATTTGCGGATTCCTCTTTCGTAGTAGGGTTTTGGTTTTGAATCGAAAAACGTTTGGAGCCAATTTTTGCCTTCTTCCTCCGAATTGAAGTGTTCTTATCGATATTTTCTTTCATAATCGAAGCTCATTACTCATGGTCCGAAATAAATAGTAATCAGAAGGGGCGAGGTCCGGACTGTATGCGGGATGCGCCAAAAGTTCCCAACCAAGGCTGTTTATTTCAGAGCGAGTCAGTTTTGCAACATGAGGGCGTGAAGGAGAACGATCTTTGACTTGAAGGGCCTATTCTTCTTTAGCGATTCATTCACCTTTTCCAACTGCTCACTGTATTTGATTGCATTAACGGTCGTCTTGCTATCCAGCAACTCTCCGTACACCACTCCCTCCATATCCCAGAAAACGCAGAGCATAAACTTCTTCTGGTGCAAATCGGGCTTAGGGTCACTTTCGGGTTTCTCGCCTGGCCCCACCCATTGCCAATTCCTCTGAAAGTTTACAGAAAAAACCCATTTCTGATCTCCTATCACAATTCGAGAAAGAAAGGATTGCCTTTTGTATTGTGAGAGATGAGCGGCACTGATGGAGGCGCGCTGCCACTTCTGGGGGTCAGTGAGGTCATGGGGCACCCAAGTCCCAAGTTTCGATTTAAATCCAAGGGTATGAAGGTGATTTAGCACTGTAACATGATCAACCCCTAACTTTTCTCCCAATTCACGCGATGATACCCAATCGTCGTTGGTAATGAGTTCGAGTAATTTGGAATCATCCAGTTGGGGTGCCGCTCCACGGCCCTCTGCATCTTTCAAAGATTTGTCCCCAGATGGAAACTTGGCAAACTATACTCGACACGTTCTTTCGGAAGGTGAGTTCTCCCCATATATTATTTTAATATTAGCAGCTGCCAAGCCTGCACTGTGCTCTTGTAGGAACTCATGAAGCATGACATGACGAATATGTCCCGGTGGCAGATTGTCGAGTGCAATAGAAGAAGTGAAGAAAAATACCAAAGAATAAAAAGCTGGAAGCATAATTTTTTCGCAATAATTTGAGGAAATTTTGAAGTAACCAAACCCCCTTTCAGCTGGTTCAATGCTGTTGTTTTTTTTATCTGCGAGTCCCGCGAAATAGCCCGCAGTTTTCAATTCACCAATCCAATAATACACTTTTGCCAACGAGTAGCCAGTTTTCCGATCCCTGCAGCAAGAAAAGTCCTGTCTAGAGGCGATGAAGTTGATAGAATTCGATAGAAATTTTCACCTTGATTTTGTTCTTGCAAATTTATCTCGACCTCTAGGTTTCGAAAAGGGGACCGACCGACCGATTTTGTGTTCACAGATCTATTCGATAATCTTACTAGAGAATGTTGTCAAGTCAAGATTGAGTCTTCACATGAGCCTTGGCCCATCTGGTAGACTTTTCATCAAGGATTCTGAACCTGCTTTTAGTTTTTTCGAAACACTTCTCTAGCCAGAAGGCAGAAGGTAACAAGTAATGAGTAAAGCTTGTAAATCAAAAGCCAAATTTTGTATGCCAAATATCTCGTGTTACAGAATCGTTCCGGTAGAACTAGAATCCTCGAGGAAAACTCTATTAGATGGGCCAAGGCTCATGTGAGCCTCTGTCTAGAGGCGATGAAGGTGCTAGAGTTTGTCTTCGATAGAATTTTTCACCTTTGTTTCGTTCTTGAAAATTTCATCTCGACCTCTAGGTTTCAAAAAAAGGACCGACCGATCGATTTTGTGTTCACAGATCTATTCGATAAGCTTACTAGGAAATGTTGTCAAGTCTAGATCGAGTTTTCACATGCGCTTTGCCCGGTAAAGGGTTCCGGTAAAACTAAAAGCAGATTCATAATCCCCGATAAAAACTCTATCAGATGGACCAAGGCTCATGTATAAACTAGATCTTGACTTGACAAAATTCTTTAGTTAAAATCTTCAAACACTTAAACTAATTGTAAAAAAATGTCATTAAAAATATCTAGATGATCTTTTTGGCGACAATATGTGTTCTACCTTGGATTATAGCAGTTTTATCAACACTTGTTCAAGATAAGCAAACAAGTAAGTATTTAAAACTCCTATTTGTACGGTTCCCTTTTCAGACAAAATTGTATCCTATGCACTAATGATAACCACTTTGCATTCTTCCGGCAATTGTCTCATCGTTCTTTTTGTGACAAAATACTATCGAGATCTTTTCATTAAACTTTATCAGGTAAGTGAATAAAAAAAGAATGGGACATTGACAATAATTTGATTAGATTATTTCGTTTTCAGCGTCTCAAAAAACGATTCGTATCACGAATTGGAGATTCCACGGCGTTTAAAGCACAACAACGAAAGCCTTATGTCATTCGACCTGGGGAAAAATGAAAATTTCAAATTTTTTTGTGCTTTATCTGATAGCTAACAGTTCGATGTCTATAAAATTTTAATTTAAACTTCCTTTTCAAGCGCATTATTTTTCAGGATCCTTAAAAGATATATCTTTCGGTGAACAAGTTTGGCATTGGTTGAAAAAGTGGTTCGAAAAGCCGAGTATGAATTGATATGAGCCGTGAATCAACCTATTTTCAACTCACAGATTTGGTCTTTCTCTGGTAATCGACTTA